CTCCACCTCCAGCCTCTGGCCTGCAAACAGAGGGAGGAACGGCAACGAGACCAGCCGCTGAGTCTACGGAAACAACTGCAAACCAGCCGACAGGCTTCGACCCAAGCATGATGGAGAAATTCTTCTCCTTTATGGCCTTCTACTAGCAACACCAGCAAGGAGCGCCTGCTCAGTCAAGCAACAACAACAAAAACAACGACGGAGTTACATCTATGAGCCTTGATGGCTTATCATACGCACGGGGAAACCAACAGCAGCCTACCTTTGCGCCGTACGAGCCTCAACGTGGCTCCACCAGCTTCATGCCGAATCAACCTGCGCCTGGACAAGAGAAGACGTTAGATGCGATTCAGATATTGTCGCGATTTGGCACGTGTTAAAGCTGCAAACATCGACACCCTTCGACGGATAAGACTTCTATACCTGGTCCTTCGAATTCGAGCTGATGATGGAAGGCGCGCAGATTCTCGGATACTTCGACGGGTCCCTACCATATCCAACACACGGGACGCAGTACGACAAGCAGCAATACACGTACCAGTCGTTAATGGCGTACACGATTCTGCTACGAAACATCTCGCCAAACGAGCAGCAGAACATTCGGTCTTATCGAGGATACGGCAACTCCGCCGAGCTCGCACACAGTCATCTGAAGAACCTGTATCAGGCAACAGACAACGTTAATCAAAGCCGGCTAATGGCACAACTGACAACAGTTGAAATGAAACCAGGCGAAAAGGGAATGGCATATATCAGTCGCTGCCGCGGACTGCGCGATAGACTCCTTCGATGCGGAGGAGCAATATCAGAAGAAGCCTTCGTCACTGTCATCATCGCTGGACTTGGTCCTCATTGGCATTCCACCTGCGCCCTTCTTCGAACCCACGGGAAGATTTTCGAAGCAGCACTCTGCGCCGAAATTCACGCCGAACAGCAAGACATGGACCTGCACGAGGAACGACACAAGAAGAGAACGTCAGTACCAGAATTCGCTTTTCACACTCAACGACGCTACAACAACAACAACAACCAGCAGAACAAATCTCAAGCACAACGTCACGTACCTCCATTCTGCCACCTCTGCAAGACGTCGGGACACCCTCGCACACACTGCCCGAATCAGCAGCAGCCAACGACACCTCAGCGTCAACTTCGGCCTTCAAGCAGTCAAGTGGCATCCACACAAGCTCACCCCACCATCAAAACACAATCTTCAACGACGTCAACATCACCTGCACAAGGGACAAGAAACATCGTGAGCTGCATGACAAGAATCACGGACCGCATCACTGAGTCACCGCCACACTACTCACCAGAAGAGTTGTTCGACGAGAGAACTCCTCGCCGCGAGTCACTAGAACCGAACCCAACGTACGTAGCCATCGCCCAAAGCGAGCCTTCTGGAAAGGACACTTGGTTCTTGGACAGTTGCTGCGGACAACACATGTGTTCCTCCAGCCGCTTCGTTCAGAAAGAACATCAATTACAACGCGAAGTTGTCATCACCGTCGCCAACAACCAAAACCTGCGCACACGACGACAAGGCATAGTTCAACTTCAGTCACAAGAAACTAACGTCATCTTACAAATGTCAAAATTTTTGATTGCAGATGGACTCGGCTACAACTTACTAAGCGTCAGTCAACTGATGGCGAAGGGCATTCATCTTGAAGCAGACAGCACCACCCAAGAGTTCAAGCTGTACCACGGAAAGGGCGGATTGTACATTGGGAAAGCAGTATTGAAGAACAACGTCTTCGTCCTCGACTTCGTTCCAGATCAAGGCACCGCCGACAGCGACGCCATCGTCAACTTCACCTCCTGGACGCATCCACCCGATCTTGACCCCGACTTCAGCCCCGGCGGCTTCTGGTACTCGAACACGATTCCTGAGGCAGAACGAACAAGAGCGTTAGCAACGATTCAGATAACATCAGCAGCAGCAGAGACAACATCGGCAGCAGCAGAGACAACATCAGCAGCAGCAGAGACAACATCGGCAGCAGCAGAGACAACATCGGCAGCAGCAGAGACAGCGTCGGCAGCAGCAGAAACAACATCGACAGCAGCAGAAACAACATCGACAGCAACAGAAGCACCACCGGCACCAATCGCTGGTCCTTCAACAGCACCGGCCGTCATCACCGACACACCACCAACTCCTACGCAACAACTAACTCCCGCTCCACGCGAAGTTCACCAAAGCCCACACTTCACCGCTAGCTTTTATTCCAACTCCGATCTGTACAGGCGTTCACCCGGACACCACGCCAGCGAAGACATCTGGCACGCACGAATGGGACACCCAAGCAACACAACGTTAAACAACACAATCAGAGCTGGAGTCCTCGATAAAGATTCGTTACTTCTGCACGACGGGAGAGAGCTTCAATGAGTTCGAGGAACGTGCTTTACCTGCCCTGAAGCCGACTTACCGCATCAGCCGTTCGTCTCTCACCACAACCCGAGCGCACCGGCATACACTCCCCTGGAGAAGGTGTATAGCGATATCCTATACAACCGTGAACCCGGACAGGGAACATACAGCTACGTCATCACGTTCATCGACGCCGCCACACGTTACGTCTGGCACTTCAATCTCCCTAGCTGCGACATGGCCTTCGAAGCCTTCGTTGCCTGGCTCCCAGCGGCAGAACGAGAGTCTGGAGTAAAACCGAAAAGCTTCCAAACAGACGGGGGAGGGGAATATCAGTCACAGCGATTCAAGCAGTACCTGGCAGAACGAGGCATCAAAAGGCTCATCTCCCTTCCCTACGCCCATCAACAGCAAGGCGTGGCAGAAAGAATGAACAGGACCCTCCAGAACACCATGCGCAAACTGCTACGTGGCATGCGGCTACCCAACCACCAGTGGCCCGACGCAATGGACCATGCCGTGATGCTGCACAACCTGCTCTCGTCATCATCACTTCCGAACAACGCATCACCGCATCTGCTGTGGACAGGAAAATTGGGCAGCACAAAAATGTTGAGAGTTTTCGGCTGCATGGTACAGTACCGACCCCCAGCTGCACGGGCCGGACGATTCACCCAACGCGCACAGTGGGGGCTACACCTGGGCATCGAAAAGAATTACAACGCATGGAAGATTTTCGACGTTCACTCAAAGGAAACAGTAGCAGCACGTGATGTCATTTTCTACGAGCGGCTCACACTGCCAACATACCTTGCCAACCTGGATGAACATCGAGACCCCACAAGTGGCTTTCACGGTGACCGAGCCTTCGCTTCGGCAGCTGACGAGGCAGACTGGGACGAGCAGAACGTGGACGGAGCCTCGGAAGAAGCCGAAACTCTACCTTACTGTTTGGTCGATGTCCCGATGGACGACGAAAATCCTCGCGAAAGTATTAACGCGGAAGTCTACTACGACCTCGCCGATAATGGTTACGTTACACCCGCATAAGTCAACACCAACAAAGTAGAACGCGTAGGACCCAACTTCGTACCTGATCCGGAAGAAGGCGACGAAGCAGCTTATCCCGAGGACAGAAATCTCCCCCGACTCTCACAGAGTGGACTGCAGATCCCGGGGCTTGTCACCGCGGTCCACGGAGCATCCCCACCTAAGGAGCCTGCCACGGTTCAGCAGGCTCTGGGGGGGGAGCATAAAGAAAAATGGCGCGAAGCCATGGACAGGGAGTTAAAGGCGCTGGAAGAACGCAACACCTGGAAAATCGTTCCTATTGGCGTGGCACGCAACAAAACGGTACTCACCGGAAAATGGGGTTTCCGTGTGAAAACCAAAGCATACGGCACTATCGACAAGTTTAAGGCGTGCTGGGTCGTACGTGGATTTGACCAGGAGCACGGACGGGACTTCACCGAAACGTTCGCGCCGATTAGCCGGCACACTTTACTGCGAATTCTCCTCGCGATCGCCGCCATGAAGCGGAAGAAACTTCGGCAAATCGACGTCGCTAACGCCTTTCTCTACGCGCCCGTCGATGCAGAAATCTCCGTCGAACAGCCACACGGCACTAACGCAGACCCTAACAAAGTGTGTCAACTGCTGAAGTCCCTGTACGGCATCAAACAGGCCCCGAGACTATGGCAGTAGTACCTACACACCCGCCTCATCCGCATCGGATTCCGCCAGCTACCGCACGACCAGGGCATGTACCGACTCACAAAGGGCACCGACTACATTTTGCTGATCGTCTACGTAGATGATCTACTCTACATCGGCTCGACCGACGACGTTATGACCTGGTTCGAAGGGGAGCTGCAACAAGACCTCACGCTCACGGTCTCGTCTACCGTGACGCAATACCTCACGCTCACGGCCTCACGCTTACGGCCTCAAAATCCAAGAGGAGGAGAACGCAATCTACCTCAGCGCTGCAAAATACGCCGACACCATCGCAAAACGCTTTGGACTTACACCAACTACCATCTCCACGCCATACCGCTACACCGCCGGAAACTCCAAGGAAACCTCTGTACTACTCAAGCCCGCCGGCATACGCGACTACCCGGCATACGCATAAGCTGGGCTGCCTGCTATTCGCAGCTGTCACCTGCCGACCAGACCTATCGTATTCGGCAAGCCAGCTCGCCACCTACCTCAAGAAACCCGAAGCAGAGCACATGGCGGAGCTCGACCGCGCACTTCACTACCTCGTCAGCACCCCGACGATCGGTCTACCTTGTGACAATTGGAACGAGAATGAATGCATTGAGCAGCATGAGGAGTACAAGTACCAAACCCTAGAATGTTGTACCCCATATGAGCTACCCCACTACAGCCTACACAGACTATAGTGTATAAGTTTGACACACCCCCATAGGCAAAGTGGGGGAGAACAAGGGGTCACAAGACCAGTCAAGCAAAGTAAGGCAAAACAAGCTCAGGGTGGATCACAACGTCACCACACAGTCTGAGCACAAGTTCAAGGCCACAAGGCCAGTTCACATGCAAGGTCACATATATATAAAGCTAAACAGGCAGGTATATATATGTAACAGTACAAGCAAGGTCAAGAAGTAAGCAAGTGAGGCAAGGTAGGTACAAGACCTAACAGAGTGCAGAAGCGCTGATGATCACAAGGCGCGAGTGCCTTAGTGAAGATATCAGCAGTGTTGGCCTCAGAGGCCACGTAAGCAAGGCGCAGCTGACCACGCTGCTGCAGCTCATGAGCAAGAAAGTAGCGGAGAGCGATGTGCTTCGTTCTGTGCTCCAGTCTGTGCTCATGACACAAGGCCAGCATGGCCTTGTTGTCTACGTACAGCACTGGAGGAGAACGAGGCGGCTCTCCCAGGTCAGTCAGCAGGTAGGTGAGCCAGCGTAGCTCCTGTGCAGCCATGGCCCCTGCGTAGATCTCAGCCTCACAACTGGAGGCGAGAACAGAAGACGAGCGGGTAGACCGCCAAGAAACAGAGCCGGAACCAAGGCTGAAGGTGTAACCCTGTGACGACTGCTGCGTAGCCTGGTCGTCAGCCCAAGAAGCGTCTGCGTGACCAGTGAGGACCACTGAACTATGCCCTCCAAGCACAAGCCCCATGCCCGACGTACTGCACAAGTAGCGCAACACCCTCTTCGCTGCAGCCATGTGCTCTGGTCTGTGTCTCCCAGGAGCAACAAAGCGTGCCAGAATGCTAAGAGGGTATGCAAGGTCAGGTCGAGTGCAGGTCATCAGGTACATGAGGCAGCCGACAAGCTCTGGGTACGGGCCACTCGACTCTACGGACTCATCCGAAGGCAGAGCTGAGAGCGAGTGGCGCGTAGGCAGAGGAGTGGCCTGAGGCGAGGAGTACGTGAAGCCGAAGCGCTGAAGGACCTGCTGCACCATATGTGACTGAGTCAGGGTAATGGTGCGCTGTGCTCTGTCCCTGGTGATCTGCAAGCCAAGGTAGCTGCGCAGTTCACCCAGGTCTGTGCACGTGTGTCTCTTCTGCAGCTCGGACTTCACGTAGGCAAGTCCAGCAGTGTCAGCTGTAGCAAAGACCAGGTCGTCGACGTACACGAGGATGTAGAACGGCGGCAAAGAAGTGTCGGTGCGCAGAAACAGCGACGGGTCGGCAGTAGAAGGAGCAAACCCAAGGGCCGCAAGTGTAGTCCTCAGTGTGTCGTGCCACTCACGAGGCGCCTGGCGGAGACCGTAGACTGGCCGCCGGAGGCTCCACTGGGTGCCAGGAGGAAAAGTCCCAGTGAAGCCAGGTGGGCGGCGCAGCCAGATCTCCTCGTGAAGGCTGCCCTGCAAGAAAGCAGTGCTGAAGTCAAGAGAGTGCAGCTCGTAGTCTCGGTGAGCAGCTATGTGCAGCAGTACCCGAAGAGTGGTCATCTTCGGGGTGGGGGAGAAAGTCTGAAAGTAGTCAACTCCCTGCCGCTGACTGAAACCACGAGCCACGTAACGCGCCTTGAAGACAGGCGGAGAACCCGGCGGCCGCTTCACCCTGAAAATCCACATGCCACTGACGATGTTCGCCCCAGGCGGGGGAACCTCGTCAACGTAGGTGCCTGTGGACTTCCAGGAAGCCATCTCTGCGTCCATGGCTGTCTGCCACTGAGAGGAGTAGGGACCCTCTATCGCCTCCGCGTAAGAGCGCGGAGTCGGGATGTCAAGTGCATCCGGGTCTCCCTCAGGGGCAAGCAGCATGGACACGAGATGAGGTGAAACAGCAGCCAAGCACTGGAACTCCTCCTGCCTGTCCTCAAGGACGTCCGTGCCAAGAGCACACTCACCCCCGACGGACGGAGGACAGACAGACTCAGACTCAGCGACGAGACTGGTAGCGTAGTCTAGGCGACAGCGAGCAGTGAAGTTGACAAGCTCAGCAACTAGGGCAGACGCAGCAGTAGACTCAAAGGAAGGGTCAGTGACGACAGTAGCAAGGAGACGCGTGACAGTAGGACGCGCAGCACGAAGGGAGTCCGACTCCGGGTCAGGAAGCTCAGGAAGAGAGGACGCTGGAGGAGAGGGCAAAGGGGCACGCAGCGGAGCAGTGGAAGGACGCAGAGACATCCGGTGCGTGCCGGGGACAGGGGGAGGACGCTGACGCGAACCACGACCACTAGTGCGAGCAGCACGGACAGGCGACGCAGGGCGAGACGCAGGCTCACGACGCTCAGCAAGACCTCCAGTAGGACCAGTGTAGGGAGAAGGAGAAGGAAGCGGGGAAGGTGGCTGTAACTGTGACTCAGACTGGACAGGAGGCGGACACTCTAAGGCAGGAGCAGGACCAAGAGAGGACGGAAGACCAAGAACCTGCTCAAGGAGCGGAACGAAGTACGGCCGCGGCCGCGCAGCTCCACCAGTGCCAGCAGGAACAGCACTAGCGCCCCCAGCGGGAGCACCAGCACCAGGAAGACCCGCAACTCCAGCAGCTCCAACTCCAGCACCCCCAGCAGCACCAGCGCCAGGAGCACCCCCAGCGCCAACACCCCCAGTAGCTCCAGCTCCAGCCGGACCACCCGAAGACGCAGCAGCTCCAGCTCCAGGAGCTCCAGCAGCACCAACGCCAGTAGCACCAGCAGCACCAGCAGCACCAGCAGCACCAGCAGCTCCAGCAGCACCAGCAGCTCCAGCGCCAGCAACACCAGCAGCACCACCAGCTCCAGCAGGAGGAGCACTCGTAGGGTCAGCAGCTCCAGTACACTCGGTACGAGCACCTCTGGGACCCTCGGCACCAGCACTCTCAGCAGCAGTAGAACCCCCAGCTCCTGCAGCACCACCAGCTCCAGCAGCACGTCGCCAGCGCCGGGCGAACCACTCACGCAGCTCCTGTGGAGAGAGCAGCTCCCGCCGGGACGAAGCACCGGAGGAACCGCCAGGCTCAGCACCACCAGACGCCGGACGAGCAGGTCCAGCACTCTCAGGCTCCGCACTCCGAGACTCAGCACCCCCAGGCTCAGCACCCCCAGGCGCAGCACCCCCAGGCGCAGCACCCCCAGGCGCAGCACCCCCAGGCTCAGCACCCCCAGGCTCAGCACCCCCAGGCTCAGCACCCCCAGACCCAGCACCCCCAGACCCAGCACCCCCAGTCGCAGCACCCCCAGACCCAGCACCCCCAGGCTCAGCACCACCAGCAGTACCAGAGTCAACAGCTACCTCGACTGGCTCAACTGCATCTACCTGGGACACACCTGAGGGAGCAGGACCCTGAGGGGGGAGGGGGTCTACCGGAGGGGGGCCTGGTGTAAGGAAGAGCGGCGGGGGAGGGAGGGACGCAGTGCGGTAGGGGAAGAGACGGTAGTAGGGAACCGACTCGTCAAAGGTGACGTCCTGGGACGCGAAGACACGGCGCGAGGTGGGGTGGTAGAACTGCCAGCCTGGCGCGTCAGGGGGAAAGCCAAGGAAGACGCAGGGAACAGCACGAGAGGACAGCTTGTCCGCAGACAAGTCGCGGACAAACGCCCTAGATCCCCAGACCCGAAAACGCGACGCATCACCAACCTTCCCCGTCCACAGCAAAGCAGGGGAGGTCTCCGGCATGGAGACCCGGGGGTGAAGGTTGAGCTGATGCGCCGCGTACCGAACCGCAAACGGCCACAGAAAATGGGGAGCAGCCGCATGGATCATGGACGTACGAGCGACGTCCATGACCATGCCGATGCGGCGCTCAGCAATCCCATTCTGCTGCGGAGAGTCCGGAAGCGTGAAGGTCTGGCGGATGCCTCGTGTGCGACAGAAGGTCTGCAGAAGGTCAGAGGAGAACTCTCCGCCTCGGTCGGAGTGCAGACGCCGAACAGGAAAGTCGGAGCCGAAACTCTCCTGGAGCTGGAGACGAGCCGCGCGGATCTAGGCGATCAACACCTCAGTGACGTCACCCTTGCTGCGCAAGGGGAAGACTGCGGTGTAACGCGAGTAGTCGTCAACCACCAGCAGGAAGTAGCGCTCCTGACCCTGCCCACGGACGCGGGCTGGGCCCCACACGTCCATGTGAAGCGTCTGCAGCGGAGCCTCTGTCGGAGGAAACTCGGAGGAGTGAGGAGCAGCGCGCTGCCGCCCCTCGACGCAGGGAACGCAGGTGGGGGCAGGCCCCGGAGGAAGAGGAGGGAGGGACCGGGGGAGACCAGAAACAAGAAGACGGGAAGCCATGCCTCGAAGGCGAGGCAGGGAGGGGTGACCAAGACGGTGGTGCCAGAGGAGAGTCCGGTGAGACAGGAGACGACACGAGCAGGGGGCAGACTCAGGACCAGACCTGGACGCCGCAGCAAACACCTGACCCGACGCGGCTACCTGAGCAGACTCAGTGACTGGGGAAGACTCAGTAGTCAGTGTGTACAGGCTCGACCCTGGCCGACGAGCAAACGTGGCCAAGTGGCGGCCCGTGTCCGCACAAGTGCAGTGGGTCACCCGCTGACGCGCAGGGGTGAACTGGTCAACTCCTGCATCCTGGAGGTCAGCACCCGCCACCAAGTTCGTAGAGAACGAGGGGAGGTAGAGACCCGACAGGGAGCCAGACGGGACCGCTGGACACGGTAGGACAGTGGAGTAGTGAGCAAGGACAGGACCCCCAGAGGGGTCCGCTAGGGAGACCGCAACAGGCCGACTGAGTGATGTGAGAGTGGTGCAGTCTCGAAAGAAGGAGCGGGAAGCACCCGAGTCAAGGGTGAAGGTGTGGGTGTCCGGGGGCGACGCAGCACCTGAGAGCGCAAACTCACCGGCACCTGGGGCAGCAGACGCACTGGCACCTAGAGCAGCAGCCTCACAAGTACCTAGCGCAGCAGCCTCTATGCCTGGGTCAGGCGGGAAACACCGGTAACAGTCACCCTCATCACTAATAGTCACAGCATACATGGCAGCAAGAATAGCATCAAAGTCAAGATCATAGATTGCAACACCCGCCCTAGACAGCTCGCCCCAGCGAGGGATCTCCGTAGCGTCGGGGAACTGGTGGCGCCACGCGTCTGTCAGCCGACCGAAGCAGCGCTGGGTGGGGTGCGGGCCTCCACACTGCTCACCCGCCCGGTCGCCGGTACGGAGAACGTAGGTGCAGGGGCCAGCACCCCCACCCCGCTGACGAGCAGCGTACCACTCACGAAGCTGCTGGGGGGAAGGGGTCTCACGGGTACGCTGCTGCTGCTGCTGCTGCTGGCGCGCACCACCACCGGAGCCACCCCTCTGCGCAGCGCCACCCCGACCAGCTCCGCCGCCTCCGCCGCTACCTCCTCCACTACCGCCACCTCCGCCACCTCCGCTCCCACCGCCACCGCCGCCTCCACCTCCACCTCCAGTCCCGCCACCGACGCCCCCACCCCCGCCACCACCCCCACCGCCACCCCCACCCCCTCCACCACCTCCACCTCCGCCTCCACCGCCCCCTCCAGCCCCTCCAGCACCCTTGCCCCCCTTGCCCTTGCCAGGGCGGCGTCTCCCGCTAGGGGCAGACGCCGCAGCGACCGACTCAAGACCAACGAGGTCGGCCGCAGCAGCAGAGGCAACAGAGGGCAAGAGGGGAGAGGGGGAGCACCCCTCAAAGACAGGGGTACGAGGGTCACCACGAGAGGCACCTACTGCGACTATGCTCTTCTCTGCCGCGAGCAGGCGCTCCTCGAGGAGGTCAACGGTGAGGGTGGTGGGGCAAACAGAGAGGAAGTGGTCCCTAACCGGGCGAAGGGTGTCAGGGAGCCGGGTGACTATGTAGTAGAGGGTGATGTACATGGGGGGGGGGGGTTCTTGGCGCAGAACTCAGCAGGAAGCGCAGCGCGGTAGCGAGTGTCACTAGTGCGAAGGTGCGTAATGAGGTCAGCGACAGTGGGAAAAGCGGCGAGGTCAGGGAAGAGGTACGGTAGGATAAGGCGGCTAAGCGCAGCAGTGGCAGGGGAAGAGTAGCGCGCAACTACAGCGTCGTACAAGGTCTTAGCACTCTTGTACTGGCTAAAGTGCGCACGCTCAGAGGTCGGCAAGTGGCGGCGCACAGCAAGGCGGGCAGCAGCATCGCGTGTGGCCCACTGGGAGCGAACAGTGGGGTCAGCATCAGCAGCAGGGGCAGGAGAGGCACCAGAGGTGAGGTCAAAAAGGGAGAGGCCGTCTGCTCTGTCGCTCAGTAGGAAAAGCTGCAGGTCATCTACCCAGACGTCAAAGTCAATGGCCCGACCCTCAGCGTCAAAAGTGAGGACACTGGGGGAAGCCATGACAGCAGTAGACTAGCAGTGAGAGCAGCAGGCTAGGGCAGAGCAGTGGTGGAGGCGCTGCTCTTACCGGGCAGGCGAGAAGGACCGAGGCGCGTCGGCAGGAACAGGGCCGGGACGGCAGGAACGGCGGCTCGGCGGCTCAGCGGCTCGGCAGCTCGTCGGCACCGGCGTCTCGGCGGCTCGGCAGCACGGCGGCAGTGGCGGCTCGACGGCTCGGCAACTCGGCGGCAACGACGGCTCGGCGGCTCGGCGGCTCGACGGCTCGGCGGCTCGGCGGCGGCGGCGTCTCGGCGGCGCGGCTGCTCGGCGGGGCCGCGAAGGGATGGCGAAGGGGCCGCAAAGGGCGGCGGTGGGGTCGCACGGGTGGGGCGACGGGGGGTCGCGGGCGGCTGCGACCACAGGAGTCGCGCGCGGCTGCGGCGACGGGAGGGCAGGCGGCCGCGGCGACGAGGTCGCAGGCGGCTGCGACTGCAGGGTCGCGGGCGGCGGCGACGGTAGGGTCGCGGGCGGCTGCGACAGCAGGGTCGCGGGCGGCGGCGACGGCAGGGTCGCGGGCAGCTGCGGCGACAGGGTCGCGGGCGGCTGCAGCGGTAGGGTCGCAGGCGGCCGCGGCGACGAGGTCGCGGGCGGCGCGAAGGGCGACGGGGTCGCGACGTGCGGCGTCGGGGTCGCGGGCGGCTGTAACGACGCCGCGCAGGGCGACGCGAGGGTGGGGCCGCGGGGTCGCGACAGGGGGGCGCCGGGGCCAGCAGAGGCGGCGCCGGGGCCGGAAGCGCGGCGCGACGGGGCCGCTAAGGGAAGCGAGGGGAGGGGAGCGCGACTCGGGCAGGGGCGGAGCGCGCTCCGGGCAGGAAAAAAAATCTTACGGTGGGCCCTAGGAACAGTTCCCACGAGGGAACCTGCTCTATACCATGTGACAATTGGAACGAGAATGAATGCATTGAGCAGCATGAGGAGTACAAGTACCAAACCCTAGAATGTTGTACCCCATATGAGCTACCCCACTACAGCCTACACAGACTATAGTGTATAAGTTTGACAGACCTAACTTATCATAAGACCGGAACCACGCCACCTAAGTTGATTGGCTACGTCGACGCTGACCACGCCGGCGATTCCGACAACAGGCGCCCACGCACCGGCTACATCTACCGCTTCGAGCCTATCGGGCCTATCTCGTGGCAGTCGAGCAAACAGGAACTAATCGCCCTCTCTTCAGCCGAAGCAGAATATATCGCACTCTGCTCAGCCACCAAGGAAGGCTAACTAGCAAACAGTTATTGGCTATATCTCTTCATATTCCTTGTACTCTTATAAAACCTTGTATCTCCTTGTTTTAATCAATTCACTTTGCCCTCATATACCAGCGCAAGGTGGTTCAACCTTTATCATTAAACGCTTCCGCACCCACATTGTTCTTACCTAGGGTTCTACCCTTGCAAAGGTCCTAAGGGCTTTTTAGCCCAACAGTGCTTCCCACCCAAACCAATCTCATGGCATCATGTCATTCTGCACCAAGCCCATCGTTTCTCATTCAGCCGCATTACTAATACTCCGCCCCTCCCGTTGCTCTATTTCCTTTGTCTATGCCGCCCATCCTCGCAGATCATCCTGACTGTCCGCTTTTGGCGCACGATGCGGCATGCACCCATCGTTGCGGGCTTCGTCATCGTCAGGTTCGTTTTTCCAGCGAAAAGGGCGTGGGTTTCGCGCAAATTTCATGCCTTATGTTGTGCAGAGTCCGGTTGCTACTGACGTTGTGGTCATGCCCGGGTTGTGCAGTGAAGACTTACTCTCTGATATTGCGGGTTGCCAGCGCCACGTCGCGGGACATCTTCACAGGTATTACCGTATCGAAGAATTCTGATGCATGCTCGTATTTCACGTCTAACCACATCTTTCGTGTGTGTTTTAAATGCGTGTATGCCATGTGCCGATTCTGGAGATTGTTGAAGCTATGTCGCATGGACCGGCGAATGTTGTCGCCCCAACGATTTCAGTGATTACCCATTGCTAGAGGTTAACAACGAGTGCAACAGCAGAAACCCTGATTGCCTTCACCCGCAGGCTTGCCCTTGTCCAGCTGGTGCACGGGTCTTGATTCATCACTATTATTTATGCTCTGTTTTTTGCGTTTGTCTTCGACTTTGTAATTGTTGGTTTAACTTGGTGTTTGTATCATTTGCCCTATATGCGTTTTAGTCTGTTGGAATGTGCAACCTAAACTACCCGACACCAAAACAATGCACTGTATAACGCACTATTAGGAAATTGTTTCGTTGTAACATTTTATAAATTCATAACATAGCTCTATTAACGTTTTGGGTGTAGGTGATGATAACAAGCTACTGGAGGTGGTGCTGCTCGGAGTGCTGAGCCTGGGGGTGCTGAGCCTAGGGGTGCTGAGCCTGGGGGTGCTGAGCCTGGGGGTGCTGAGCCTTGGGGTGCTGAGCCTGGGGGTGCTGAGTCTGTCGGTGCTGAGCTTGGGGGTGTTCCGCCTGGGGGTGATGCGCCTGGGGGTGCTGAGCTTGGGGGTGCTGCGCCTGGGGGTGTTTAGCTTGGGGGTGTTGAGCCTGGGGGTGCTGAGCCTGGGGGTGCTGCTGCTGGGTGTGCTGAGCCTAGGGGTGCTGAGCCTGGGGGTGCTGAGCCTGGTGGAGCAGGGTCTACTGGTCGTCTTCTAGGTGCCTCAACTCAGCGGCCTCCCCAGCAGGAGCCCCTCTCACCACAGCAGCTGCGCGAGTGGCTAGCTCAGCGCACTCGCCTCCGGCGCAGAGCTACTGGAGCTGGGGGCACTGGAGCTGGAGGCGCTGGAGCTAAAGACATTGGAGCTGGAGGTACTGGAGCTGGAGGCGCTGGAGCCAGGGAGACTGGAGCTGGAGGCGCTGGAGCAGAAGACACTGGAGCTGGAGGCGCTGGAGCTAGAGGCGCTGAAGTTGGCACGACTGGAGCTGGCGGTGCTGGCGCTGGAGGTACTGGAACTGGAGGCCCTGTGCAGCAGCGACCGTTCTTCGAGCCGCCGCCGCAGCTGTCTGAGCTTCCGCCCGAGTCGGTGCTCCGCCAGGTTCTTAGTCTTCCTTCGTCCACTGCCCTTCCTCCTGGCTCGCCGCTGCCTGCCCCGTCTCGTTACACTGAGCAGCCGGTCTCCCTTACAGAGCGTCGTGAGCCTGCGTCTCGTCCTGTCTCCCCTGTTCGCGCTGTCGCACCACTCATCGTGTCCCGCGTCCGTGTCCTCCTCCAGCGCCAGGCACTCACACTATGGCACTTCGTCCTTCCTCTGCTCTACATCGCATCCCTCTGCCGTCTCCTCCTACGTCCTCTCTTCCTGAGATTCCTGACCCTGAGTCTGACTGCGTTCGTGTTGCCAGCCTCACAGTCACGCGTCTTCAGGCTATTGTTATCACTGACCCGTTGTTTGAGTCCACTGCTGCATCTGCCTTAGTTGCTGAGCTTGTCGACTTTGCTGCTGCCTGTCGTCTAGACTACGCCGCCAGTCTTGTTGCTGAGTCTGAGTCTGTCTATCCTCCGTCCGTCGGGGGTGAGTGTGCTCTTGGCACGGACGTCCTTAAGGACAGGCCGGAGAACTTTGAGTGTCTTGCGGCTGCTGTTGACTGTCTTGCGGCTGCTGTACCTCATCTCGTGGCCTGGCTGCTTGCGCCTGAGGGAGACCCGGATGCACTTGACATCCCGACCCCGTGCTCTTACGCAGAGGCGATTTCGGGTCCCTACTCCTCTCAGTGGCAGACAGCCATGGACGCAGAGACGGCATCCTGGAAGTCCATAGGCACCTACGTCGACGAGGTTCCCCCTCCTGGGGCGAACATAGTCGATGGCATGTGGATTTTCAGGGTGAAGCGGCCGCCGGGTTCTCTGCCTGTCTTCAAGGCTCGTTACGTTGCACGAGGCTTCAGATAGCGACAGGGAGTTGACTTCTTCAAGACCTTCTCCCCTACCCCGAAGATGACCACTCTTCGGGTGCTGCTGCACGTTGCCGCTCAGCGTGACTACAAGCTTCACTCTCTTGACTTCAGCACAGCGTTCTTACAGGGCAGCCTGCACGAGGAGATCTGGCTGCGCCGCCCACCTGACTTCTCAGGGTCGTTCCCTCCTAGTACCCAGTGGAGCCTCCGGCGGCCAGTCTACAGTCTCCGCCAGGCGCCTCGTGAGTGGCACGACACACTGAGGACGACACTTGCGGCTCTTGGGTTTTCTCCTTCCACTGCTGACTCGTCGCTGTTTCTTCGCACCGACACTTCGCTGCCGCCGTTCTACATCCTCGTGTACGTCGACGACTTGGTCTTTGCCACTGCTGACACTGAGGTGCTGGCCCTTGTGAAGTCAGAGCTGCAGAAGAGACAAGCCTGCACTGACCTGGGTGAGCTGCGCAGCTACCTTGGCTTGCAGATCACCCGGGACAGAGCACAGCTGAGTGCACGGGCGATGCGACAGGCAGGGGCAGGGCGGACGGGAGACGCGACGGGCTGGGGCAGCCCGCACGGGCGACGCGACGGGCAGGGCAGGGCGTACGGGCGACGCGACGGGCTGGGGCAGTCCGCACGGGCGACGCGACGCGACGGGCAGCAAGGGCGCACGACGCGACGGGCAGCAAGGGCAGGGCGTTCACGGGGCGCGCGACGCAGGGAAGAGCGTGCGCGGACAGCGCGATGCACGTCAGGGCAGGGCGTGCACGGGGGGGGGGGGGGGGGGGGGGGGGGGTAGGGTGGGGCAGGGCGTGCGCGGGAAGCGCGACGCAACGCAAGGCAGGGTTGGGCGTTCGTGAGGCGGCGCAACGCAGGGCAGGGGCAGGGCATCCGCGTGTGGTGGGGCAGCGTGTCGGGCGGAATACGATCAGTGGGCCCTAGCAAGAACGGTCCTGGAACAGGACCTGCTCTGATACCATGTCAGAATGAACAGGCAGGAATGATGAACTATGCAACAGTTTGGTACAAGTACTAACCCTAAACTGGGTTGTACCCCATATAGGCTACCCCACTACAGCCTACACAACACAATGTTCTGACACCCTCATAAATGTGCCAGCTGTAGAAGCCATCTAAATTCGGCCACGTAGAGAGTACAGTACACAAAGGCGGGCGAGATGGGCTTTTGAGGAGCAGAAAGAGCTGTCGCTGTTGCTGTTTGGTCGAGAATGTTAAGTTATAATAGACTTTGTTGGTTGTAGGCTGTAGTGGGGTAGCTTACATGGGGTACAACTTTCTAGGGTTCCTATTTGTATCCCAACTGTTTCTAGTCTCACATCATTCCTAGTCTAGACTCTGACATGCTATCAGAGGAGTAGGTATGTAGGTTCGGCTTTTTTTTTCGGGCCCACCGGTTACCGCGCTACCCCACGACCTACCCTGCCCTGTACCGCCCGCACGCGCCGCCCCTGCAGCCCGTGCGTCACTTTTCCTGCAGCACGCGCGCTGCCCTCTGCTGTCCCGCGCGTCGCCTTAGCCGCCCGCGCGCAGCCCTCTGCAGCCCCGCGCGTCGCCCCAGCAGCCCGCGCGCTGCCCCGTCTGCCCTCGCGACCCCTTAGCAGCCCCGCGCGCCGCCCCTGCAGCCCTCGCGCTGCCTCGCCTGCCTCTCGCGGCCCCTTAGCAGCCCCGCGCGCCACCCCAGCAGGTCGCGCACTGCCTCACCTGCCCCTCGCGGCCCCTTAGCAGCCCCGCGCGCCACCCCAGCAGCCCGCGTGCTGCGCTTCCCTGCCCCTCGCGGCCCCTAGCAGCCCCGCACGCCGCCCTAGCAGGCCGCGCGCCGCTCTTCCTGCCCCGCGCTAAGCCCCGGCAGCCCCGCGCACCGCTTCCCTGCCCCGTGCGCACGCCCTTGCTGCCCCGCGCGCAGCTTCCGCAGCCCTCGCGCTGCCCCTGCCCCACCTCGTGCGCCGCCCTTGCCGCCTGCGCCCAGCCCCTGCAGCCCTCGCGCTGCCTCTGCCCTGCCCCTTGCGCCGCCCT